CGGCCACATTCGTGTATTATGAGGAGGACCATTTGGAGTTGAGCTTAGATTAAATATTGACTATTGGAAAGGCGTTTTACATATGGGAATTGATGGAGAAACTAATCACTTGGTTTCTGCAGTATGAGATGTCTTAAAATGTGACATTGTTCATACTGAATAATAGTCATCAAGATATAGATATGTAAGAAAGAGCACAGCAAGTCGATTGACTGAATACAAATTCAACAAATGGTGTGACCCCATATACATCATAATTTGTAAGTAATAGGAGATAACGTTATCCTCGTTTCAGCTCAGCGGCGGCGGTATATGTAGGCTCACGAGTTACTCTTATCAATAATTTGGAAAGTCATACCACCAACCACTTATAATTTGACACATGTAAGATTTATTTAAAAAACAATAAATAAAATAGAAGATCAAATTACAGTATATCATGAAATATGGGACTAAATTAAAATAAGCCAATTTCAAGATGGCTCTAGGTTTTCTTTTATTTAGCGGTGGGCAAAACCGGGTAATCAAACCAGTTTTGCATTTGGTTGACTAGAACCGAATATTTTTTTCGGTCTGTTGTTGTGCCTTGGTTGCACAACCAAGTCGTAGAATTTTTTTTCGTTTGTTTTCAGCAAAAAAGATTGAGAGTTGCAAGATTTGTGGAGGTGCTGGCCCAAAAAAGGAGGATGAGACGACACTGGAGGTGATAACAGGATATATTAAAAAATTGATACATTTATCATTTGAAATTTCAACATTTTGATGGATTTTATGTATATTAGTTATTCTAATATGGGGAGGCTAAGGTTGGATTCATCGGGTGAAGGGAGGCTGAGATGGTGAGCCTCCCTCTTTACTTAAGCCAATGCAAAAAAATTAGAATAATTACATCATTTATGATAGATTAAGATTATGATATTAATTGACAAATGTTGATCTGTGAGTGGTTGGAGGGTACCAACTTAGAATGCAGAGCTAGTACCCCTATTGTAGCTGTATATTTTCTCATGTTTGGGGGGTCAGGAGGAATCACATTTTGAACATATACACTACTGTTTTGCAGTAAACCCACGGGGCACAAATTGACGCCACTTGTCCTCTGACTATGAAAATGGAGCATAAGCCCCCGCCACATGTTCTATGACTGTGCATCCATCTAGGTCACGTGTCATACTAAAAAATGATTATTTTATTTGTAAGATTACCATAGATTGCTTCTATAGTACTATGGTTTAGAGTTGAGTTGTCCTTTAGGTCGTGTGTCATTTTATAAGAGGACTACTTCCCTAGTAAGTCTCTAATAAAGGCAATTTGTCAAGTCATGTGTCATGCAATAAGAAGATTACTTTATGAGTAAGTTTGCCTATGCAATAGTATAAATAAGGGCCTCTCACCCCGAAAAAGGGATCGGAAATTTCATTTTCCTTAATAGCTAAGAGCAATTGTCTCATTTGAGAGTAAACAGCCTTTTGTAAACACATCAAAAACACACTAGAAAAACAATAAGATAATAGTGGACATAGGATTTACGTTTTTGCATCTGAACCACTTTAAAAACTGCTATTGCGTTCTCTTTATTTATTTACTTGCATTGTTATTATTTTTTTTGTTGGTTCAACATAATATTCTCTTAGTCTCTAACAAACCCTTGCGTAAACTTTTTCGAAGGCTTGCATACTTCTCATTGGTGTGAGAAATTGCAACAACAACTACTAACAAACAAGAATATTTAAAAATTAAAACCAATAATAGTTATGATATTTCGGTAATTAATATTTCATAAGCACCTTTTAATTTTTAAAAAGGATATTTATTAAATTAACCAAAAATGGCGGGGGTTAAAGAAAATTAATCACATTCCAAAACTAAGCTATATTAACCAACAACTATTAGGATTCCAAAATCACTCTGGTATAAAAAGCCGACCTTTCACTCATTTTCTCTCTTTGTTTCTCCTTTAACTTTCTCTCTCTCTTAGAATTTGAACTTCGATTTTGAGCTGTCTCAAAATTGCTGACAATTTAAGGTGTAAATTTAAGAATTAATTAGTTGTTTGGTTTGGAAGCCGAAAAATTGATTGAAAGAATTGAAAATCTAGTTTGGAAACGTGACTGTTTTGGAGTTTGGTTTAAGTCTGGATATGGAGTTAACCTATTAGTTTAGAGAAACAACCACCCTTTCTAGCCCTAATTAGCACTTGTTTATTCATTATGCTAGTATCAAGAGCTTCTTCTAGAACAATGAGACTCCATCCTTTTGCCCACATCCACCACGTCTCTAGTCTAAACCCAAAGTTTGAGTTAACCCATTTTACTCTAAGGGTGCGTTTGGCTTAAAGAATATTGTATTATTGTGAATGTTATATTAACAGAAAGATAGATTACCTTGAAGATTACTAAGAATGTTTTATTAAATGTATTTGGTTAGATTGGAATAAATTGGTAGATATCTTATATAAATTATTGAATTTCCTTTCTATTTTAATAATATTTTTATATTATTACTTATTATTATAATTTAGATTATTATTTTAACTCCCTACATTTGAGAATTTAACCAAAACACCCCATAATAAAAGTTTAAAAATTAATAAAAAGACCCCAGCCACCCAAGCCACTGTTAGCCGCCGGCCACCACCACCACCGGCCGCCAGCGGCCCTGTCGGATCAACGTACAGCTGATCAGATCTGGTTTATCGTGCGTCGTTCGGACGATGGTGGCTAGATCCGACTGTCAGTATTGGGTAATTGTTTTTAAGTTTAAGGGTATTTTTGTCCTAAAAAATTTGTACATAAGAATAAAATAGTCCATATTTTTTTTAAATTGTTTTTAAAAGAAGGGCTAAGGGGTAAAATTGTAACAAAATTAAGATTACTAAATAATCTTAAAATACCTAAAAAATGGTAATATTCAAATTACCACCTATATAACCAACAGTAATTACTATTGGTTTTGAAAGATTAACAGAATCTTATATTACTTGACAACTAATGATATGAATTCATGCAACCTCAGTTCATATGTCACCATACTTCAACCAATTCTAACTCAACCTAAACTAGGACTCACTTGTAACACCCTAAAACAAATTCGGCCAACACTCTACAAGCACACACAACCCTTATGACAACTTAGAGCAACACTTTTTATCTATTCTCAATCAACACAAACTCATTCTCCTTGAAAACACAACACAAATGGGATTACAGACAAGGCAAGTCAAACCCGGAATTGAGATGAATGGTAACCAAGCAAAAATAACTTACAAGAAAAATGACCAAGGATGATTCTAGCCTAAAGTAACTCTACCAGCTTGAAAGATCAATCCACCACCAAGTTTGGCCGAAACTTGGGTAAAGGAATTTAAAGAGAAAACAATTCTCCAAGGCAAATACTATTCATGCAATATTCATTGTCTAATTCATATTATGAAAGAGTGGGTTTTAAATAGGCTGTACAAAACATGAGAATTACCCTAACAAATATTACAACAAAATCTTACACAAAATATTAGGGGATAATTCTCCATCATGCAATTACAAAAGTGCAAACCATGCCCATTTAATGCTATGGACAACCACTCCTTAATTAAGGATCTATGTCCCTAATTACAATTTTCTTGATTTTTCTTCACCAATTGAACCAAATAGCATCCACAAATTGGGCTTGGACCAATTAAGTTTCTCCCCACTTGATCTCCACGGCTTGGGCTACAAAAGAGGGCTTGTGCCATGTCTTGGACCCTTAACACATCTTAAATAAGTATGTAAGCTTCCTTGAGTACTTTGGCCGAATGTTGTCCTCCTTGTAAGGTTTGGGTTTCTTGAATCTTCAATGAACACTCTTGCATATTTAAAGAACACAATAAACTTGGATTCTCATCAACCAAACATGATAATGTAAGTTAATATAAGATGACATTATTTTAGTAATAGGGGACAACCCCCAACCAAACAGCGTCTAAATATAATTGATTAAAGCTCCCATAAAGTATTGTCAATAATCACATTTTAAATTAGTTTATCAAAACTTTTTGGGATATAACTAAAGAAATAAGTAATTAAAAAAAAGAGTGCGACAATCACAAACTATACTGCATGGTTGCAGAAAATAAAGTCAAGATAATAGGCTAAATCTTATCAAATTTTAGGGGGAAAAAAACTATTTATTTATGCATTAAAAAAAAGACCTATAAACCATTGACTAAAGGGTGTCAACCAATCCACGTAGAATTTTTGCTTTTAAAGGTATTACGATTAACATGGACCTCACAATAGCATGATCAACTCTCAACCATAAGCCGAAAATAGACTTCGATATGTATGTAATACATTAAATTACTGCTATATGACATAACAGCTGAGCTAGCTAATCCTTTCTTATTCAATGAGCTGGCAGTAAATATTGTCAATTATTATCCTTTCAGCCACGGAACCTTGGACAGACCCAAGGAGCCAAAAAAACGACGAAGCAAAACAGGAGGATCAAGCATGGACAATCCTTATACACAATCAGAACACAACCTCCAGCCTAAAGAAAACTGCAGCCTAAAGGAGCTTTGCAAAAAGGAATACTGCTGGGCCAAAGAAAGAAAAAAAGCTGCTAAACTGCCGTCCTTTTGCGCCGCAAAAAATTTATGTATGAGTGTGAACAAAGTCGATAGCATCCCCCCGCCTATCAGTGTGAACACAGCTCAAAGGAAAATCCCATTCATCCACAACTTGTCTAGTTAGAACTATCAAGTTTCAATTGGTTAGATTAAGTTTCATTATGGCTCGACTATGAAATGACGAGGAAATTTTTTTCTATCACTATCAATCCACGAATGAAAATAAGAAGTCAAGACATCATGCAGTAACCACATGTACAAAACGTGGTTCGCATTTGGGGAATTTACCAAGAATTTACTATAAATAGCAACGATCACTCCTACATTTGGAAAAGCCAAGAAACATTTAAAAAAAAAAAACTCAATCCTTTTTCTTATTATTGCTTTAATCATGGAAGTTTCACAGCTTCAAATCCAAGCTTTAGTTGAAGAGATGAAAGAAGGGATGTTCAAAAACATCGATCCATACACATTACTTTTCCCTTCTGCATATGATACAGCATGGTTAGCCATGATTCAAGATTCTAACGAACCCTTTCGACCTATGTTCAAGGATTGCTTGAATTGGGTGCTTAAGAACCAAAGAGAAGAAGGGTGGTGGGGAGTGTGTGATGGCCATGGCAATCCCACAATTGAGTCTCTTCCTGCAACTCTTGCTTGCATTATTGTACTCAAGCAGTGGAATGTCGGAGAGACTAACATAGACAAAGGTATTACATACACGTACAATTATTGCATACAGTTATGATTATGAATTTTATTCATTTATGATTCCATTGTGTTCGTCGCATCGGTTATGTCATGATTTGTGGCCAAGCTACAGTAATACTGTCATTTCTAAATTAAGCATATGTGATTACGCATGCTTAAAATATTTCTGTAGTAATATATTTGGAAGAATTCATGAAGATTCTAAAGAGTTCGCAATTATTTCAAAACTAACAATTTTACACTATGATATTTTTCATTTCAAAGCTTCTGCTATTTTAGTTGAACTCTCTCTAGAGACTCTATGTATCTATCTAATATTGAATTTAAAAGGGATTTGACTAACAATAAAAATTGACTCATGATCCAATCTCACAACTCCGATGTGACAGCTCGCAATTGATCAACTCATTATTGATTAAGCAGAAAATTTATAATAATAAACTGTTACATTAAGGTTGTAAAAAAATGTTTGTGACATTAAATTGTATGTATAGTATTTTTACTATCAGAAACCATAATACATGTAAATAGGTGTGATACTATATTTTCACTATTATGCTATTCAAGAATTTGGTTAGTATTCCATTAACTGACAACGTGTCACCTAACATTATATTTATGGATAATTAAAAATATGAGCTAAAATAAAAAATTATGTTTTCACAGAAAAACTTTATATTTGACCTTTTTATTGTCCAATAGGTGCTCATCACTATTTGTTCTTCTGTTCATGGTTTCCGTTCCAAGACGTAAATTAAATAAGGCTTTGCCAGGAAAGATCAAGAAAACAATTGACTTTAAGGCTCACGAATCAAGTTTACTGTAATCTCCAACAAATTAATGCCGGAAAGTTTCCAAAGAAAAATTTGAATTGACCGAAGTTAACCGTTCCTACAAATTTATAGATGAAATGTAATTGCAATTTTTTTAATATTCGGTTTTATTTATAATCAGGGTTGGCATTTGTTATTGCAAATTTGGAGGAGCTTCTAGGAGAAAATTATGGTGGCTGTCCCCGTTGGTTTGCCATTGTTTTCCCTGCAATAGTTGAACTTGCAAGCACAGTTGGTCTAGAGATTGTCTTTCCTGACAGAATGAGGGCAGTAGTAACCGACATATTCTACCAACGCCAACAAATTCTTGAAACGTAATTGTTTGTTGATCAATAATTCATTACGTTGTCGTGATGGTTGATAAATAAATTATATTGTTGATTTCATATAACAAACCTGTGAAAGCTCTCTTTTTTGCAGTGAGGAGCTTGTTGACAAGCACTACTATCTTCCTTTATTAGCATATCTCGAAGTGTTGCCTCCATCCTATGCCATTAATGAAGAACAAATGGTGAAGCATTTGAGTGATGACGGCTCTTTGTTTCAGTCCCCTTCAGCCACAGCACGCGCTTTCATGGCTACTGGAAACAAAAACTGTTTAGCTTATCTCCAATCTCTTGTTCAAAGATGTTCCAATGGAGGTTAGAGAATTTTTCTCCCCACCGTAAATTTTCTATTGAAAGACCAATCTATCTATGCAACCTTTACTGGGATTTCTCTAATTTTATTTTATTATTTTCTAATAACACTTTATATTTGAGGCAGTTCCACCCACTTATCCCATCGATGAAGATCTAATAAAGCTTTCCGTAGTTAATCAGTTCCAAAGGTTGGGGTTGGCTGAGCATTTCGTCAGAGAGATTGAAGAAATTTTGGAACAAGTTTACAGGTAAAAAAAAAAGAAAAAAGGGCAGTAATTTTTTTTCAACATATAAATCTATAATCTATCGCAATTTTTCCTTTGAAAAACCAATTTTTAATAGAATTATAACGTTCAGGAATTACAACAATAAAGGATCATCCACCAAGCCAATCAATCTGGTTCCAGAGAAGCTATATAAAGACTCTTTAGCGTTTCAACTCCCACGGAGGCATGGCTATAGCGTTTCACCAGGTATGTATACGGTCTCGTTTACAGATCCCTTTTCTTTTTCCCTTTAATAGATCTATGGTGTTGCATATATAATTTTATTAAATGTATTTGTTTTGCTTTTTCAGGGATATTTTGTTGGTTTTTACATAATCAGGAAATTCAGGACCATATGGATAAGGACCAAGATTATTTCTCAAATGTGATTCTTAATGTTCATAGGGCCACAGATATTATGTTTCCAGAAGAATACGAACTTGAAGAGGCTAGATCATTTGCCAGAAAATCACTTGAGAAAAATATGTCTTCAGGAAATAGCGACCAACATGATTTTGCATTCCCCTCTTCTCATAGAATGGTAACAAATTTTTCCAAGCTAAAAAAAGCTTTTATTCATACCATATCTAGAAAGTAGAAAGGGAAATACCTGATTTATTCAATGTCTTATCATTATCAGTCCCGATTTAACATTTGATGTTTTTTGGGGCTATTAATTTTATTACGACCACTACATTTTGCAGTAAAGTACTCGCTACATTCATCTTTTAAGTAAATGCATCATTAAATTTTTAAAGTTTGGATTATTATACACATTTCCTTGTAATTCCAATGTAAAATAAGTAGATTACTATTTATTTAATGAAAAAAATTCACTAAATGCTTGTTTAAGGGTTTGGTGCGAAACCGATAGTGGTGCATGGTCCAAATGTGGAAAACAAAATCAGTATTACTATAGACTGGTCTCTACAAGTTTCTTCAATTTGGAAATTATGGAAAACACGATGAGTTAGGTTTCCTTTTCTTTAATGGACCAGCTCTCACGTTCAGTGTCATTTGAGGTGAAAATTAAGTGTTTTGATAACAATCTGAAAAAAGGAAACTAATAAATAATTTAATGATCTCAAGTACCTATACATGTTTTGTTGTGAACCACAAATTATATACATTAGAAGTCTGAGCTGAAATATTTCATGCAGATTCAGCATGAATTGGATCATCCATGGCTAACTCGACTGGAGCACCTGGAACATAGAATGTGTATTGAAGAAAACGAAATGAATGCCTTATGGATGGCGAAGACCTCCTTCCATAGGTTATCATCCTGTCACTACGACTAACTACTGCTACTTGCTAAAATGAACTTTGAACTTCGACAGTCCGTATACAAATACGAATTGGAGGAGCTAAAGAGGTACATATATGTTGTCTAGTTTAACATAGATTTAATTGGTTTAATGATGTATGTCTATCATGTATGCTAATTAATGACTTATTTATGTGAAATAGGTGGTCTAAGGAGTGGGGTCTTAGTGACATGGGATTTGGCCGAGAAAAGACGACGTATTGTTACTTTGCTATTGCTTCCAGCACTTCACTGCCTTATGATTCGCATATACGATTGATAGTTGCAAAGGGTGCAATAATTGTTACAGTGGCTGATGATTATTTCGACATGGAAGGTTCTCTTAATGAGTTGATTAATCTTACTGATGCAGTTAAAAGGTACGCATATGCTCATGATACAGACACTAAGAAGTACTAAAACTCCTCAATTAATTAAAATTCCTTTATGAATATGCAGATGGAATTCTAAAGGCTTGAACGGGCATAGTAAGACTATCTTTGATGCCCTTTATCACTATGTGAGAGAAATCGCGGAAGAACACCTCCAACAACAAGGGAGTGATATAACAAATGAACTTAAAGATATAGTAAGTTTCAAACAATATTGAATTCATATTCACAACTTAATTTTGGTAATAACCTTAAGTTTTTTATGTTATGAAGTGGTATGAAACATTTGACTCGTGGCTTACGGAAGCTAATTGGAGCAGAAGTGGACGGATTCCATCTGTGAATGAATACCTTGAAACTGGCATGATACAACGCTAACGCACATTTAACTCTTATAGCTTCATGTTTCTTGAATCCAGTCTCCAAGTTACAAACTCAGGCCACCTCAATGAGACACTCACCAAATTGCTCATGGTTATCCCCGTTTATTGAATGACATACAAATGACGAGGTAAAGTCCGTATATAGTCTTTGTTATGTTTTAATTATTTGATGTTTTCTGGAGAATATCATAGATTACGCCTAGTTCTCAAAATTTCATCATTGAACATTTTTTTATTAAATTAACTCCTAAATTTATAAATTATATCACTGATATCCTTTTACTCAATCTTGTACGTTGTCTAGAGGAGTAAAATGCTAACTTGGTCTAATGAGAACATGCTCTGAATTTTTTTTTTTTTTTTTTTTTTTTTTTTTTAAAGAAATGTTAATTTTGAGACTCAACCTTGGATGAAAAGGATGAATACCTATTTCAAAACTATATTTCAAGAGGGGTAATAATTATATTTACTCCTGTCATTCTAACAAAAATGTAAAGGAGTTAGAACAATGAAGTATAATGATAAAGTTTTCAAATTTTAAAGGTCTATATAATAAATAATATTATACATAAAATATTTTTATACAACATTATGTGACAGAATATGATTGATTGATTTTAAATTAAAAATAAATTTTTATTTAATCATATTTTACCACAAAATGTTGTATGGAAAATATTGTATAAAAATGTTGTATGTGTAATATTATGTTTTAATTAAGTAAAAGAGTATGGGTAATACAATTTTCTAACTTCAGGTTATGTTTAACAAAAAAGTGAAGTTATCATTAGAATAATATATTTTCCCTACATTTCCTTCAAAGCTAATATTATCTTTTGCAATTGCAGAAGGAACAAGAGGAGGGAAAGACAAATTTTGTGTTACTTTATGCGAAAGAAAATCCGGATGCAGACATTGAAGATTCAATTGCCTATGTGAGAGATATAATAACCAAAATGGAGAAACAGATATTCGAACAGGCTCTAATGGATGGTTTTAGTGACCTGCCAAAACCAGTCAAGAATCTCCATTTATCGTGTTTGAAAGTGTTTAATATGTTCTTTCACTCTTCCAATCGATATAATTCCGATACAGCACTATTTCATGACATTCAAAAGGCTATTTATATTCCTATCCAAGCTGAATCCCCGAAGCCATTGAAATCAGTTCCTGCCCAACCCCTTTCCCTTCCACTTTCTCCTCCTCTTGGTTCTACATCAAAGGAGTACAAAACAACGATCAACTATGGTCACTTCGATCGGTCATGCTTCAAAAGTAGGAGAAGCCTTGCCGCACAGCAGGTTCCTCGGCTAACTTCAAGAAATGGATATAAAAATATGGTTTTACCTATTAAATATAGATTAAGTTTCATTTAATTATTTTTATGAATTTTCAGTCTCCGACGAGCAGGATTTTCTCGTGCACTAAGCATAATATCTGTGTGTCTGTATAATTATATTTTGTATAATAATGGATTTAACAAATAACCAGTTGTTCTTTTACCAAGATCCTCTCCTCAATTTTTTATTACCTCGCTTTTCAAGCATATTTGATCATTTGATATACAGAAAATTTGATGGTAAGATTTAATTGTTTAGTTTTTATACATTAAGAAAATGCACGTATGACTTGGAAAACACTATAATATGTGTTTTATGCTTCACGGCACATGCTATCTCGTATAAAATATATTGAAAACCCATGCACTCTTATCCCGACATTATTGCCAGTTACTTAACAAAATAATGAAATACTTAATCATTGGTTGCAATTAAATATTGTTCATCCAAATTCTCTAAATACCACATAGTACAACACATATACTTAAAAGTTAAGAAAAAAGAAAAATAAATAAATAAAAAGAGAGGATTCTGGTGCATTTAAAAACTAAAGCCACACTCTCATCATGAAAATGAGAATGAGCGAATAAATTGTTACCTATCTTCTGAATCTGTGATCGTTTATTTCTTTTTAATTTGGAAGAAAATCATGTATATATGGAGTATTTTTTTAATTTTATTTTTAATTTTTTGTTTAGTCAAGTAAACAGAATCGTTATCCTCTCTTGTAAATTCGATGAATACGAGAAATGATAGATTGTTTCTCTAGAAAATTATTAAAACCCTCGAAAGTCGAAACCATATTTATTATTGGTGATCCTCTTGGATTTTTGGTAGGTCCAGAACTTTAATTTCAAATTGAATTATCTTTCTGAAGCCAAAATCAAACACGTCAATGCATAATTAATGGACACGTTATTTCACCTCTTCAGATCTTAACTTCTTTTAGCCAATTGAAAACATGCTTATACTGCCACAATTGTCTCAATAGTTGATTGTTTGATTAAAAGAATTAAGTTCCTGTAAACTTGTGTTGATGCTGGATTTTGACACCAATTATTTGCACGTGAAAAAAACTGAGTTGACTCAAAAGTCACACATGATTATGGAAGTATTTAACTAATAAAAAGGTAAAGAACAATATTTAAAGTTATTCAGATGCTCACAAAGCGAATCCCACGTCTACTGGTATTTGTATTAATGAAATAAGTCAAGTCGTGTTCAGTGAGCTGATTTATAGCTTAGAGAATACAATAGGGAGAGGGAAAGAGTATGCCATTTTAGAGAAAAATTAGCCAATTCCACAAATGGGAGAGGAGCCCTCTATTTATAGTGGGATGAACCAAGGTAATGATTATTAAATCTGTGAATGGGGCAGATGTCGTGCGAATCCTTCCCTGCATCCCATTGTTTACCTGCCTGAGTGATTTCTTTGACTTGTGCAGGGATTGGACATGTGGACCTTTTCTAACCTTTTGCTAGCCTGGCGCATACCCACTGCACTGGCAGGAGCATGCTGCTCATGTCATCATGCAACATGGTTGCATCTGAGTGGTTGTAGAACCTTCTTAAGCTCTAACTACCCATGCTGACAAGGCTCGATGTCAGCCCTATATTCTCAGGCATAACAGAAGTCCCATAGTTTTTAAGGTTTGAGGATCGAACCTTGAAAACTACACAATCATGTCTTGATCTGATTGGTCGAGTGACCATTGGTCGATTCGACTTGGTTGCAAGGAGGTCGCGAAACATTTTCATATAGGTGACCTGAAATGGTCTCCGTAAGGTTTGCGACCTATACTAGACCTTGTTCAGTGCCATAGGCAATGATTTTGGTCTTGACCGAGGTGCACGACCTGATTATACTTAGCGTATTTTTTGTTGAAGGCAAAGAGTCACGTCATATCGCAATTGACATGCGGCAAAGAGTGTCCTAAGCACAATAAGTGTTGACCATGTGCATTAAATGCGAGCCATGCTAAAACGACATTCCTTCTTAGAACATTAAATGCGGATGTGAACGTATTTAATGTGGAGGAGGGAAGTGAGCCGTCACTCGAGTATTTCAACAAAGAGAAACAACGATTTGATTTCTTGAAGCGTGACGGTTACTCTTTCCCGTTGATTGACTACACGTGGTCACAATCAATGGTGAGAGACAATTTTCGTTCAAACATCATTTGACTTCGAGAAAACCAAGCACCATTTCCTTCACTATAAAACCCCAGACTCACCTCAAGCAATTTACTTCTTCAAAGAGAACAAGAAGGTTTCGTGAGCCTTGCTTTTCTGTTTTCCAGACTGGCGTGTGCTTGACGTTCAGATTAGAAGGATCAATCTTCATACTCAAGAGGTAGGAATAATTCTTTTATCACTTTCCTTTTCCTATTTTTTGACGATAGTCATGCGATAACGATGAACATTTGTTGGTGGTTGATTGGAGAATAAGCTTTCTCCTAAGGTTTTAGTCTTTGGGGGTGGCCCCAAATGATTCTTTAGGGTTTTTCTAGGGTTTAAGGAAGATGGTGTTTACCTTTTTCCTCCATGTTATCATACGAAAACTGTGTACGACGACTGAGTAATCCATGCATGTCGCTCTTTTTCAGATCACAAAAGGAATGAACCCCTCAACGACCAGGACAGATGAGGGAACGAGCTCGCTGGTGCAGGATGCCCTAGCGGGTCCCTCTCAGGAGATTCTGTCTGTAGCCACCGCAGAGGATTTTCAAAAAGCGATAGACCAATACGCTCTCGGCGTAGAGGTCTACTAACATAGGACGTACACAGCTCGGAATCCACTAGAATGAATGGTTGTGATCTCCGAGAACATCTTTAAGAGTGGAGTGCTAATCCCTTTCCACCCTTTTACTAGGTCAATCCTCGATTATTTCAGGGTTACACTGTTACAGCTTATGCCAAATGCGTATATATAGCCATGGCTATGTATATCGCATGCGACGAGAACAGTTAAGGTGAGCTAACTGGGTTAGAGCTCTGTTGCTTGTCTTATCTGAAAAAGAGTAAAGACAAGGATCTTTCTACCTCTCAAAGCAATCTACGATCGAGGGAGGAATACATAGTTACCCTAGCAACGTTGGCGCACACGAGACGAAGTTTTTCTTTTTTCACTATGATGGCATTTGCCATTTTAGGGAGCCTAGTAGGTTTTCCTTTCTTTGACTTGGCGAATTTCCCTTTAATCTTTGCTAATGAACTTTTTGTTTCTTCGCAGCAAACAAGAAGACCAGGTTATTGGCTCTCAAGGATCCTAACAGAATAATTGCTTTCGGCCTTTTGCCTGAACAAAGTCGTGACGCAAGGCTATTTATGACAACTGTGAACTGGCTGAAATACAGTTTCTTCAATCCCGAAGCGCCCTTAGAAACCTTACCGAGTAAGTGCCATAACCTTAGCCAGTTTTGTTATTTGCATGCAGCAAACTATTTAGCTAACAATGTTTGCATGCAACGACCATGCCTCTTAAGGTGCCCAGGTAACCGCGATCAAGGCATTTCTCCTTCCTTCGGGTTAGCGTCACCGGACCAGTCGAGGTAGCTCCCAGCAATCCCCCGTCAGAGGGACACTGACAGTTGCACTGGTTTGACTTGTAGGTGCTTCTCAGCCTATAACTGCTTGTCTCAAGCAAAAGACAATGGCCAAGAAGTCCAAGAAGAGGAAGCAGCTCTGGGCCGAGTAGTTTGAATCCAAGCTAGAGGGTCTGGGTGTTTAGCCCAAGAGGTCGTAGCCTCACCAGACATTTCGCTTGGGAGGGCCTCCTAGGTGTGACCGGCATTACCATTGCCCCAGGGGGTTCGCGAATGAGGCCGAGTGAGGCCACGGATCCTGGAAGGAGACTGGGCAAGGAACTAGTGGGCGAGACGCTACCCACTACGGGCACAGGCATAGGCACGCCCGTGCTGGACTCTATAGGGCAACTTCCGGAGCGTTTATAGTAGGTGGTTTTCACCCTGTTGAAGTGCCACCTCGTAGAAGCGTTCGAGCAGTTCGTGGCTGCTAACCCCATGGATCTGATTCCACGTCCTTCTAGCACCTGAGCCAGGTAAAACGAACTGTCCTCGACGAGGATTTTTTCACATTTCCTTGCTTTTTTCAATAGAAAAGAAATTAACTCTTTACTCGCTTCGTTACACAAGCCCTACTCTCCATATACTTGTCCCTACAAAAGGTTTAGCTCAGTGCTGCTAAGGGGCTGGTTGAGCTGAGAGAAGAGAATATGCGGCTTAAACGAGACTTGGAAGCTGTACAAGCAGATAAGAACCTATCCACCATTCAAGCGAACCAATACCTATTCGAGAGGAATGCCGCACTTCGAATGGTGGATTTCCAAAAGGCCGGGCTGGAAAAGCTAGGAAGGGAAGTTAAAGAGCTCCAAAGGACGGTGGCTAGGCTCACCAAAGAGGCTAACAAGAAAGAGTTGGAGCCACAAATGAACTCCGAGCTGGCCTTACGAGCAGAGCAGGAAAGGGCGCAGATATGGGAGACCATCGGGAAACAAAGGTGGGCACTTGAGGCCAAACTCTAACTCAACCAGGGTTGCGCCGCTTTGCTAACCAAAGGGATTTAGCGACAAGAGTTGGAGATTGAGAAGAGGGTTGCTGACTGGATGATCCAGTCCATCTATGCCCTACGACTGAAGAATCCTACCGTCGATTTGACTGACCTCCCGGATGATTACCAACATATCCTTGCTTCCATGGCACGGGCTGAGGATGAGGAGACAGCTCGGGGCCTGATCCAGAAGAGGAGCAGCCAGAAGAGTATGTCCTAGAGGAGCTCGCGGCCAGCTAGGTGGTTGGCGACCAACTTGGGGATGCTGAGGTCGCACCTCCAAGACCTGGGGATGAAGGCTAGTGATTGCCTTTGCTTTTGTACTGCCTTTCCTACTTTTTTATTTTTATTTTAATAAATAAAGAGATCGTTTCCTTTGCCATTTGTGAGTACTTATAATTTTTCGTACCCTATAAATGTTACACGTAGACATGAGGTCACTTTCTAATTGTTTACAATAGAATTTGTACAAATAATATCTATGCGAACAAAAGTGTCTACATGCAGGAAAATATATTACAAAAGAACTTATCTTATTTACAGGTCTTGAGAAAAAGTTAAGTCTTTACAAGATAATTGAAGAGAAATGAGTTCAGAATTACTGATAGGTGGAGATGTTCAACATTCCAAGTTGCAGTACTTTGGCACCGTTCAGCCTTTTGAGGTGATAAGTCTCCAGTCTTATCACTTTGGCGATGCCGTATGGGCCTTCCTAATTCAGCCCTAATACTCCTGTACTTGGTTCTCGTGTATCGAGAATGACTTCTTTCAGAACAAGCTTGTCGACCTGGAAGTCTATTCTTCTAACTTTAGAGTAGAAGAACCTTTTCGCGCGTTGCTGATAGGCTGCAATTCTTAGTTGAGCCTTGTTGCAATGTTCTTCAACTAAATCTAGACTTGCGCGCATAAGCGCCTTATTATCTATCTCATTGAACAGGTCTCTTCAGAGAGAACCAGTTTCTACCTCCACAGGAATTATCACCTCGTAGCCATATGCTAGTAAGAAGGGTGTTTCTGAGGTAGAGGTTCTTGGAGTTGTCCTGTATGCCCATAAGACTTCAGGGAGATCGTCGGCCCAATTCCCTTGGTAGCACCAAGTTTGGCTTTCAGAGTGTGCTTGATGGTCTTGTTGACAGCTATAACCTAACCATTTGCTTGCAGTCTCGCAACTGAGGCAAAATTTTTGTGGATACCTAGCTCATTGTAGATTTGCTTGAATTCCTCGTTATTGAACTGCTTTCCATTATCAAAGATAAGGGTATGAGAAATTTCATAGCGGCACACAATGTTCTTGAAGATAAAGTCCTTAAGCTTTTTGGTGGTGATCGTAGCCAAAGGTTCGGCTTCGACCCACTTGGTGAAATAGTCCACTACGACTACTGCATACTTGACTATTCCCTTACCAACTGGCATAGGTCTAATGAGATCGATTCCTTACATGGAGAATGGCGAGGGGCTGGACATGGTTATTAGCTGGTGGGAAGGAGCTCACGGTATGCTCGTGAACGACTAGCACTTGTCACACTTTTTAATAAAGTTTTAGGTGTCTTCTTGGAGTAGGGGCCAGTAATACCCTTGACGAACAACTTTGTTGGCGAGAGATCGTGCGACTGTGTGATTACCACAGATCTCTTCATGTATCTCCCTCATGATATAGTCTGCCTCGTCATCGGTTACACATCAGAGGAGAGAGGCACTAAACCTTCGCTTGTACAATTGATCTCCCATAAGTGTGTAACAAGCAGCTCTGGTTCACAAGGTTCTTGCCTCAATCTTGTCATTGGGCAAGGTCCCGTCTCGGAGATACTGGATGATCGGGGTCATCTAGGAAACTGACTCAGTCACATTCATGGCCTGTTCAGGTGAGTTAATATTGGGGGCCTCTATGAACCGAACAGGAATGCTCTCTAGCACACTTGATTCCAGTGATGAGGCTATCTTTGCCAAGGCATCCATGACAGAATTATTGTCTCTGGGAATCTGCGTGATCGTGAAGTGCTTAAATGGCTGGAGTGTTGCCTTAGCTTTTTTTAGATAGTCGATCATATTTTCTTCCTTGGCCAGATACTCCCCCAAAATCTAGTTGACAACCAGCATTGAGTCGCTGTGGATGTTGATCGCGGTTGACCCCATTTCTCTTGCCAACTGTAGTCCAGCGAGCAGAGCTTCATACTCAGCTTCGTTGTTAGTCCTTTTGAATAAAAACCGAAGAATGTCGTGAATACGAGTCCCTTCAAGACTAAGGAGAAGGAGGCCTGCTTCAGCCCTTTTCCCGTTTGATGATCTATCAACGTAGAGGCTCCAAGTCAATAGATTTTGGACAGTTTTCTAGGTGATTTCGCTGGCTTGTTACTCGAGTTCCTTAGACAGATGATATGAGAATTCTAAGATGAAATCGAACATATGTACACTAGTTTCTTATTTCAGCAAGGGTTAATTTTTTAGGGGAAAAATTGGAGTTTTCATGAGGACATGGTGAAGTAAATCCTAGAGAGCTTGGAGCGGAATTAGAAAGGAAACGAGTACAATACCAAAATAACCTTGAAAAATTCCATTGAAAATGCAAGAGAAAAGAGGTTAATGATTATAATAAATATACATGATTTTATACACTTGTAAAATTATTTTTTGCTGTAAATCTCTGAACCTGAAGAAATAAAGGATGTATCTAAATGTCTTAATAATTCTATGAAATTTATAGGTGAAATTGGAGGTTAAGCTTCCAGCTGGTTATTGTCTTGGGAAAATAACAGTCGATGAAGCACAAAACTCAAATACTTGTTGGATCGTTTTAGACAGTTTTTATTATTATTTTTTTTTATTATTTTAAATGAGATGAATGATGATACTCATGGAATTTATAGGTGTTCGAAGCACAAAAAATAACTAAAAAATTTTTAAACGAGGTATATTAAGAAATGGAATTTCATTAGTTTAATTGTGGAGCCAATGAAAACACTCCTAAAATTTGAAGTGATGCTATTACGCTCATCCCATTTATAAAGGATGAATAACTTGTATTTTTAAAGATTTATATTTAATATGATTTATGTTCTTCAAAACCATGCAATAAATCAACATATCTTTATTATGTATCCCACTCCAAGAATAGATTATGATAACCCTTGTTATGGGTAAAATTGAGCTACACACATGACAAGAGAAAATGTTGACGCATGTCCAAGGTGAAGGTCTTATCCTCAGAAATAGTCATCATCCTTAAACAAAGGTTTGATAGGCTAATGGAAAATGGAAAATAGTCATCATCCAAAAACTCATCGTTCAAAATCTATTAACCTAAAGGTCAATAAACTCATAGCTCTCCTCATCTCCCAAGAGCTCATCGCTAATAACTAGCTCTCCACATCGCCTAAGTCTTTTTAAATCTCATGGCTAGTTCTCCTCATCCCCCAAGAGCTCATGACCATGTCAACTCTCCTCATCACCCAAGAACTCATGGTTAGCTTTCCTCATCGCTTAAGAGCGCATCATCAATAACTCATGGCCAATAAGTAGGTCCCCCTATTGTCTAAGGGAAATTAGAGGGGAAGCATATACAAAGTTTGTAAAGTCTAATATTTTAGCAGTCATACGCTAAAAGTCAATGGAATAATACTACACATACATCATTCTCATACAACATTTCTCATACAATATTATGTGGCAAGATATAATTGGGCGAAAGTTTAATTTTAACTTTAAATTAACCAATCATATCTTGCCACATAATGTTATATGAAAATGATATATGTGTAGTATTACTCAAGTCAATGACATGTGGTTCTATTTTAAATGTTATCACTTTGGGACTAGTAATCTTTCGCAGGAAGACTTTGTGTTGTCCAGGAGTTGCCACGTCGCCCCAAGATAGAGAGGATACGATTGTCACCAACCCAATAGATTCAGGTTTTGTCTATAAGTGAATGGGAACCATACACGTGTCCAAGCCTCAAAAGATTTGAGGATATTTCCTAAGTTATCAGCCAATGAGAGGTAAGGAATGACTTGCATAATACCTACCCACTTGTAGACTTGTAATCATTATCTTGAATTCATCAGCTATAAATAGAGGACTCCGCCTCACAAATTCGAGATTGATCATTCTCTGATTTTCGTAATATTCAATAG